ATCTTCTTACAGTAAGAACGCTAATAGAGAAAGCAAATGAATATCACTTGAACTTATACCTTGGCTTCGTTGATTATGAAAAGGCATTTGACTGCATATAACTTTGGGCAATAGAGAGAGCTATAAATAACTGCAGAAGCGCCGCAAACAAGATCAGAATTGTAATGCTAATAACCAACGTCCGCTACGGACAGGGCACTTGACGAAGAAGAAGAAGCTCGACAAAACTGTTGCCGGTTCCAAGCCCGGAACAAGGATGAAGGGGTCTATATCCAGGTGAGCACCCGATTGATAGACTTTAAAAACTCATAGAAACAGTTTTATGGTCAATTTAAAAGGCTTAACTCTAAACATTTATCGTTTTCTACCGCTCTGAAGGAATGGTGCGATAGTATTTATTAAAATCTACAAGACTACTTATTTAACTACATTTCACCCATTTTGGGATATCCACGGTTTTTTCTCCAAGTTCCTTCAAGCATGAAATATAACTAATGTTAAGTATATACAAAAAAATTAATAAGGAGAGCAAATAGGTGAAAAAATAAAAAAGCAATTTATGCAGATCATGGTGGCAAATGAGAGGTATAGAATATCCGAAAATATGGACTATCCAGACAGATGTAGGAAGCAACACTCATAAGAAAAGACAAAACTATAGATCCAGTGGTGAAACGTAGGACTAAATTAACGAAGGAAAGAGATAAGATAATTAATATGAATACCTTCGCACAAATTATAATATATGTTAACAATATTGTTCTGAAGCTATTATTCAATTGTTTTATATGTTCAAAAATATCAAATATCTACTTCAACTATAAAATACCTTAACTTTTTAAATGATTTTACCTTGTATATTACACATTCTATATTATCACAATCTTCATAGGGAGTTTGGCGTGTTTTCATTTGCCAAAAAGTTATTCCAAGTGAATAAACGTCACATTTTGTTGTAGGTTCTTTTCCTAACAAAATTTCAGGGGCAGTAAACTGAATGGTGCCCTAAAACTGATCCACGTTTACATTCTATATATTTTTATAAAATAAATAAGATATTATAACAATAAAAAAATGCTATCTCGGTTCCTATTGGACATGGTTTTTTAAGATTTTATTTTTCACCATTTTAGAACAGGGTTGAGATTGCTGCAGTTCATTTCTAGAATAAATATTGAATACATTGATAACTTTTTATTTTCCTTGTATATCTATTTCACCTTATTTTCATCGCGGAGCGAATTTTTGAATACCTACTTAATTTTTGTTTTGTTACCATATGCATAATTTCATATTAAATGAAATATTTGTTATTTAAATTTTACTTACATGGTTAATATATGAATTATTATCAGATATATCAACAGAATTTCCAAAATCACATAACTTGCAAACTCCTTCATAAACAACAATATTACTAGGCTTAATATCCAAATGCAAGATGCCGTTTGCATGACAATATAATAATCCCTTACATATATCTCGAGAATATTTTAGATAATCAACATTGAACTTAGAATGATTAATAAAATATTGCAGATTCTTGCTTTTTGGTAGATACTCCATAATTATAAGAGAATATATTCCATTTTTCCTTTGAATAATTTCCAACGTTTTTACGATATTTGTATGGTTTAAATGCAATGAATTTGTTTCTCTGTGATGCGAATTCGACTTTACTAATTTCATTGCTACTGTTCTACCTAGAATAAAAATATATATATATATATATATTTGTAAGAAGTGTGCGCATACAACACTTTTTGAAATTTTCTATCAAGAATTGAAGAGAGGCTTTAAGATCAGACAGCGCTTCCAAAATCAAAGTCATTTCATTTACCAACTCTCTTGACTCAAGTGTGATGAGCAGTATATAGGGCAAACATCGCAATGATTAAAATGATGAATAAAGCAGTACAAATGTGAGAGCAAAACAAAGACAAATTCTTGTACAGTAACACTCCATTCCAACACAACAGGCTACATATTTAATTCATTGGATGTCAAGTTCTTGGATATAGAAAACTATAAAAAATGACTATTTCTCGAAATGTACCACATTAACAAAAACAAAAAATCAATAAATTATACGACAGACACATGCAAATTAGGCGACATGTACAGTAATATTTTAAAATTCTGATAAACTAAAAATAAGGTTAGGGATAAACTTATAACAAAAATAACTTTGGTCATATACTTTTCAGAATTTTTTATAATAATATTTTTAGAACGATTTACAACAATATATGCTGAGGTATTGCAATTGATAGAAGACAATCAACTTGACATTATGACAGAATTATTTAACCCTATATATGGAACAGGAACTTTGGTACATGTCCATATTTATATCACTGCCAAAAAAGCAAATATTAAGAAATGTGAAGAAAACCGAATCATGAGAATCATGAACCACTCACTCAAAATATTCTTAAACATCATCCATGCTCGCATATACAAGAAATTGAAGGAGGGTATTACTGATGTACAATTTGGATTTCACAGTGGTCTTGGCACAAGAGAAGCACTTTTTAGAATACAAGTATTGATACAACGAGCAAGAGATGTTAATATAGATGTCTGTGCCTATTTCATTGACTTTGAAAAGGCATTTGACAAAGACAGCATGAGAGGGTTATTGAAACTTTGCGAATTGCAAACATGGATGACAAGGATATAATAATAATAACAAATCTCTATAGAAAACAAGTAGCCAAGATTCGAGTAGACAATCAACTATCCCATGAAGTTCTAATACAAAAAGGAGTACGACAAGGTTGCATACTCTCGCTTTTGCTGTTTAATGCGTACTCTGAACATCTATTTCGAGAATCTTTGGGAGAAACGACAGATGGCGTGATTGTTAACGGTGAAGTAATAAATAATCTAAGAAATGCAGACGACACTGTCCTTGTCGTGGATAGTGCTGAAGGATTACAAAGACTAATAGATCAAGTAGTTAACATCGGTAGAAAATATGGAATGAAACTTAATAATAAGAAGACGAAAATCATGATCATAAGCAAAAACTAAGATACAGATGCAAAGTTTATGGCAGACAATGAGGTATTGGATAGAACAGAAAAAATAACATACCTAGGATGCAATATCACAGACAGCTGGGATCATCCATACGAGATTAAATGTAGAATAGATAAAGCAAGAGTGCCTTCCAACAGATGAAGAAAGTTCTGTGAAATTTAACCTTGAACTTACATCTCCGACTCAAAATCATTAATTGTTATGTGTTTTCTGTTCTTATGTATGGAGCAGAGGCATGAACACGCACTGATGCGTATTGCAGACGGTTGCAGTCTTTCGAGATGTGGTGCTATCGTCACATGCTCAGAATATCATATGCATATCATATAACTAACGACGCAGTAATGCAACGTTTACAAAAAGAACCTGAAGTCTTGAAATCTATTAAAGAGAGAAAGTTAGCATACTTCGGACATATAGTGAGAAATGAAAATAAATACAGAATCCTACTATTGGCATTAGAAGGGAAAATAGAAGGAAATAAAGGACCAGGACGCCGCCGAATATCCTGGCTTAAGAGTTTGAGAACACAGACCTATTTCTAACAGCTGCTAATAAAATACGATGGGCCATTGTAGCAGCCAACATCTATAGAGAATAGGCACTAGAAGAAGAAGAAGCGACCATAGACTAATCAGAGCAAAATTTGTTCTAGATCTGAAACTACAAAGAATAAAATTAATCACAAAGCCAAGAGTAACCGGTATAAATATTAACAATCTAAAAGAAAAGTCAGATCACTACCAAAGGACAATGGATGAAAGAATACATGACTTAATGGAAATAATCCTTGATAGTGACCAAGCAATCAGAGGCTCGCAACAACAAAATGAAAATACAATGAAAGACTAGTAGACAATACAATCAAATACAGTAAAAATATGAAAAGAATATGAAAACAAGAAAAGCATTAATCATTGGGAAGAAGCAAATCGTTGTTCTAACAAACGAAACAAACAGAATTACAGACAGAAATTAAATAATACAACTCGTAACTAATTTCTACAGCGAACTATACAAACCCCCTGGCATACTTGAAGAAATAAATTAGTAACCAAGAAGGTGTACCTTCAAGAAGTCTAAATTCTACAGCGAACTATACAAACCCCCTGGCATACTTAAAGAAATAAATTAGTAACCAAGAAGGTGTACCTTCAAGAAGTCCTTCCGGAAGAAGAAGAATCGACGATTACAAAAATGCAAAGCGATAAAGAAGCTGGAATATATGGCATAACAGTAGAATTGCTTAAATAAGTTTGCAGAACAAAAACCTGGAAAATCTTAGCACGCATATTTACGAACTGCCTAAGATCAAGATGCATCCAGATCACTGGAATATAGCAAACATAAATCTCATTCATAAGAAAGCAAAGACAATATCAAAAACTACAGACCTATAAGTCTACTACCAATCATATACAAGATACTCACAAACATCATCAACAACAGATTAACGAGTGCATTAGGTTTTGCACAGCCAAGAGAGCAAGCTGGCTTCAGAAGTAGATTCAGTACCATATATAATACCCATAAGCTTCGAGAACAAAGGAAACGCAATATCACCAGAGCTCTTCATTGCAACTCTAGAAAATATATTCAGCAACATGAACTGGCAGAATAAAGGCTATCCATTGATCTATATTACCTCAGCCATCTAAGATTTGTGGACGACATAGTTCTAATGGAAAATAATTCTGCAGATCTGCAAGAATTTATACGCGACCTAAATGCAGCTAGCAATGAAGTTGACCTAAAAATGAACTTGACACAAACAAAAACCATGTACAACGAGTTAGTGGCTATTCAAGATGTAATAATAAACAACACTGCACTTGAGACAGTAGACGAGTATATATGCCTGGGACAATTAATACATAAATCTGGCTCCATACTTTCAGAAATCAACAGAAGAATGAAACTATCTTGGGCATCTTTTAGTAAAAATGCAGTTATATTCAAATCCAGATTTCCTTACCTTTATACTGGGCTTTAAAAACTTTACCAAAACTACCTTTCCCCATAATATTGAAATGTTTGTCGTCTTCTATGCCAAGTTTTGTGAATTTTAGTTTATTGGGTGTATTAATTAAAACATCATTTTTAACCTCAGTAAGTAAGTCTTCTGAAGCTTGACTTATGCGAATTTGAATGGGAGACACTGATTTTATTTTTTCGGTAACCGGGAAGTTGATTCGTTTTGGTATTTGTTTTATACTAAAAATTAAAATAATTGAAGGACTGTTACTAAGAAAGAATATTATGATAAATAGTGTATATACCTACTTTTCTACATTAGGAATATGTGGATAATTACTTAGATTCAAAAACGTTGGTGATACAGGAGATAAAATTCTTGGAGGCAAAAGTTTTGTGACTTTTTTTAAAGGAGTACTCATTTTACTAAATTGTAAACAAATCACAATAGACGGATATTTATTTCTGTAGTTTGACGAATGTTTTTGTTCGAATATTTACAACCAAATTTGTCAGGGTCGGATTAATGTAATTTTACTTGTTAGAAATTAAGTTTTTAGTTACGGATATTCAACTCTGTTTCTCAAAAAACGAATTTATGCTATGTTTGTTTCTAGATTTAAAGGGTGCATATGACGTGGTTTTGGATATATTATATTTAAAAATGGAGGCATGCGGTATTGATAAAAGATTATCTGTAAATATAATAAATTTATATGTGAATAGAAAAATATACTTACGGGACCATAGAAATGTATTACACGGTCCAAGAATATTATAATATAATGGTCTCCCACAAGGCTCAATACTAAGTCCTTTATTATTTAATGTTTATAGTGCAGATCTACATGGTTTGATGGATGAAAAATGCAAAATAATTCAATATGCAGACGATATATGCTTATATACCAGCCATAAATCCTATGAAGATTCTATGTTGAATCTAAAACTTACCTTTAGCAATATAGATAAGTGGGTGAAACAATTGGGTTTTAGTATATTACAAGAAAAATCGATTGTATGTTTCACTAGACGTAGACAAAAAGTCACAGGTAAATGCCAGATGGGTGATTATAATTTCCCTTTAGCAGAAGAGTATAAGTATCTAGGTATGATCCTAGATAAAAAACTCTTGTGGCCCAGTCATGTAAATACGTAAAACAATAGTGCGAGCGTGGAATTAAAATTGCGATAATTCCACGCGTGGCCATAAGATTCTTTGTCTAATGCCATCTCTCTCTCTCTCTCTCTCTCTCTCTCTCTCTCTCTCACACACACACACACACACACAACTTTGTTTGCCAGTTTTCTTCGTTCTACATTTTCTTTTTCAACAACATTATCTTTCAAATCTTGCATTTCAGAGTTTGAATTTATTATCCCTGTTTTTCCACGCTTCTTTTGTTTTTTTGTGTTTGACTGCGAAACACTTGGAATGGATGATAAATCTTGGTTTGTTATGTGAAGAGTATCCTGTTGAGTATTTTCTAGAAGGAGCCGTTGGCAGTCTTTAGGTGGGTGATTTTGTCCACTTTCTAGGTTTTCTTCTAGATTATAATCTGGATTGTTTAGATGGATGTTTTGAGTTCGATATTGATTGCTCTATATAGGTTTATAATATCCTCCTCATTCCTCAAAAATATCAGAATTAAAAGGTGGAATCCCTGTTTTTTTCAAAGGCACTTATGGCATTACCAGAAGTAGCACTTTTAAGGTAAGCTGTTTTAAACAACCCAGCAACTTGAAAGTGCGTAACGAATCTTCCAGGATTTTGTTTTAACCAATTTTGAATCTCTTGATTATAATAGGTTTGTAGAGGACTGAAAAAGCCCACGTCGAGTGGCTGCACCCGGTGGGAACAGTGTGGTGAAAACAGAAAAGTACAATACCATTCTCTTTTGCAACTTGTAAGACTTCCAGTCCCTTATGACTACTGTCGCCATCTAACAATAATAATATTTTGTTCTCATTCGAACCTTTGGTATAGTGAATAAAATGTTTAAGCCATTGAACAAAAATGTCTGAAGACATCCACCTTTCTCCTGGCAAAAAGCTACACTTCCAGGTGGAGCAGCGTCCATTAATTCATTTTTGAACCTTTTCTAGGAAAAATAAATGCAAAAGTACCAATTGCATACATTGCACATACAACTGTTAAATGCTGACCTCGTTCCGCACTACTCAGTGCTCCAACTTGTTTCCGTCCCTTGGTTGCAAACACTGTTGGACCTTGTTTGAACAGTACTAAGACCTGATTCGTCAACGTTGAATATATTTTCTGATTGAAAATTGTATGCATCTAAAACTTTTGCTAAAGGGATAAAATATGCTTTAATATTTTTCTTATTAAATGCTTGTGCTCGCGTGAAAGATGTATTTTCTGGTGTTCTGAGTGAAATGGTACTATTTTTTTAAAAAAACACCCTTCACCCACTTCCATCTAGCAAGACGAGTCGTTTTGTTGAATTTGTGTTTGATATTATTTCTCTCAGCAAGTTCGAAAACTAATCGTCTCAAATTTAGCGTTGTGAAACCAAAAAATCTTGTTTCCATATCAATCACATGAGTAGCTAACTCTTGCTCAAGATGAGGAGGTAAATAACAAGACTATAATCTTGAGACAGATGTGTTATTTCTGACATACCTCCTTTTTTTCCCTGTACCCTTAAAGTGCTAATCAATCAGAGGATACGTTTAGCGGATGAACAACAGGGTTTTCTTAGTGGAAGATCGTGTACAGATGTACAACTTACAGATACTATAGAAATAGGCAGCAGAATAAGAAAAGGGGATTTATTTAGGCCCATGCTCTTCAATTTGATTATGGATGAAATGAAGATAGCAAGATAGCAGGATGAAATGAAGATCTGCAAAGACTGGTCCACAGATTTAACACGAGAGCAAAAGAATTTTATTTGACAATATCATCTCAGAAGACTAAAACAATAGTAGTCAGAAATTGGCGACATTAGCATTGAACAAGTAATGGAAATAAAATACCTGGGAATTACACTGTCTAGGTATGGAAACTTGGAAAAAGCTGTGAAAGATCAAGTACAAAAACAAATAGACTAGCAGGATTCCTTAATAACACTATATGGCGAAACAGACACATTAACAGTGAGATGCAGTCTAGATTTTATAAAGTCAGTGTAATACTAATAATGATATATGCCTCAGAAACAAGACCCGATACAGCCACAGCGCAAAGGCATACTGGAAACGGAAGAGATAAGAGTACTGAGAATAATTGCAGAAACGAAAGAGAAGTGAAGACATTAGAAGAAAATATAACATATAGTGTATGCTGTATAGACACTAAATAGAAATAAAGAATGGAATAACCTCATAAGCAAAATGGGGAAGACCCGTGTCGTCAAAATAGCAAGAGATGAGTCACCAAGAGGTAGAAGTATCGGACGACTGCGCAAAAGATGGAGTGATAACCTTCAGAATTGGTTAAAAAGTGGAAGAAGAAGAAGATTTCGAACTGGCCGACTTACTTTTCGTTTCATGTTATTGACTGAATCAGTACTTGCCAATTAAGTGTTGTACGTATTGGTAGCTTACATTTTTGTTCGAATAATTTTAGTTAGAAACTCTTGCCGCGTTTTTGGCACAATAATTATTAAGAAAGTAAATGGCAACTATTTCAATTATATCTTTTTTAGTATAAACTATATTTAGAGTAAGTACAGTATTGTAAATGTGGCAAATAAGTTCATTATGGCATTCATTGCGATGCTGTTTTACTTCTATTTTGTATTATTTTTTTAAACTTCGAAAGTTTAAAACACAATTTGTTGAACCATGGATCGATTAAAAATATAAAAACTATTTTCCAAAAAGAAATCTTTCAAGAGTTTATTTTTAATAATTAATTTCGCATAAAAGATTGTTTCCTTCGATATAAAAATAGCCCGATTTGTGTCAAAACATTTTTAATTTGCCCAGTTTTAGAAAAAAAAAAAACAAATTTTCGTTGGGACACCGTGTAAATATAGAATATTTTAACATGTAGACAACTTCAGACTAATAGGTTTATGATCGTGCAAAATGAAACAGAATTCATTATTTGTGTAGTTTGGGGTTTTGCTCACAAGATGTCAGCACTTGTGTGCAATGCAGTTAGGTTTTAAAATTTTTGTGGAAGTGACCTACCTGAATTTTCAAATTTGTCTTCAGTAGGGTCTTAACTGATCCACTGTGGCGGATGACGAATTTTGGATATGATTAATGATTATATTCCGCTTATTGGCAAACGATATCGCAACCGTTTGTCAGTAAATATCTGACGCCAAAGACCAACATTTTTAATCAATTAAAATATTATAATAACACTTTCATTTTGATGAATTTGAACTGAAGTTTATGTTATATACAGAGAAATGCGAAGTTCTGTTATTTATTATTACCTTTCTCGTATTTTTCTATCCCATGATACAATAAGCAATTTGTGGTAATTTACCCCACACAGCACACATTGCTTATTGTGTGATATACTGTGTTATTGTTATTTGTTTTAATTAGACACTAGTCATGCAGAAGTAGAGAGAGAAAGGCCAATAATCAGTGTAATATATGTGGTGCCATTGTTAGGCAACCAACATGACAGCAGCCTCGTGGTGACTTCACCTGTCATGTTAGGGCAGTCAACATGTGGGTGTCAGATTAGAAAGTATCACAATAAAAGACCTGGAATAAAACATTCTTATTTATTCATCCTTATACCCTGGCAGGTTTACCAGGATATTACATGGTGTCAGGTGTTTATTCGGGCTAAATAGTCTACGAGTTTTACACGTTTTCTGATGATATTTTGTGACTAATATGGAGAATTTGTGTAGACCTCCTGAACCGTTGAACCTAGATGGAAATATAGCGGAAAACTGGAAAAGATTTTCACAAAAGTTTGAGTTATTCCTGACAGCCACAGGATTGCTGGATAAGCCAGAAGCACAGAAGATAGCCGTATTCTTGAACCTTGTGGGTGATGAAGGACTGGATCTTCACAATAGCTTTACATACACAGAAGAGGAAAATAAGAAACTAGAATCAATCATAAAGAAATTCGAAGATTACTGCTCGCCGACTGCTAATTTAATATTTGAACGATTTAAGTTCAATAGTGAAAGTGTTTGGAAGCAAAAGATAAACATAGGACGCAGTCATGTAGAATTTAAACTAGATACAGGTGCTGAAGTAAGTGTTTTGCCATATTATGTTTTAAAAAACCTGAAATTAGAAAATAAACTAAAGAGAACATCAGTAACCCTGTTATCTTATGGTAGTCCAGATTTCAAAATTAAACCTTGTGGAGAGATTAAGTTATTATGCAAAGCTAATAAGTGTGAAAGTATGATTAAATTTATTGTTGTTGATTTAGATAATCAAATACCCTTATTAGGGCTACAAGGGTGTT